AGCCTGCCATTGGCCTGGTGCTGCTCCAGCCAGTGTTTGGAAAGATGAAAGACGCAGATAAAGAATTGGCACTTTGTTCCTGGTGAAAGTAGAAGATGTCGGAGTCAAGACCTGTTAGTGCTTAAATCACTCAATGAAAAACTCCACAGTGTAGCAACTGAAAAGCTGAGAATTTAAAGAATAGGTTTGGATTTTTACTTGTTTGTCTTCTGTAATATGTAAGTTGAGAGAGTTATTGGTCGTTGTAATCATTCCTCTTCTCCATACTGGCCATGAAGTCATCCGTAGCACCTATGGTGTAATAGATGGAGAAAAAACCCACTATTTGTATTATGAACTTCATTATGAGGAGCCCTGTGACAACTGTAGCACACCTGCTGGCCACTGAGAAGCTCCATCCCAGCAGTTGGGGTTCAGGGACTTGTTCAAGGGTGGTAATTCAGCCTTTTCTCGTCCTTCTGAACTGCTGTAGGAGTTTTTCCAATGCAAATTGAGGATCTAAGGAATGAAACAGATTGCAAAGCCCCTTAAGACAAAACATAGTTGAAATGTTGTACTATTTTTAAAGTATAATAATTAGGGGTGTGTGTCTCTCCCTGCTAAGACGATCCGATACATATCCAAATACATGGGCTACGATAGGATTCAGGAATGCATTTTATAATGGAACAATACAATAAATTAGAATAAGCCAGTTCTATAAAAGTGACATTGCTTACCTTCAAATACATATATTTTATTAAAAACCAGGGAATGCCAAGTATTTGTTTTCTTTATGGCATGAGGAAAAATGGAAAACAAATGTATTATTTCAGAATTACATGTAGTTTTCCAATAGACACAAAAAAGATTTTCTGCAGTGATTACCTTAGACCTCTCCCAGTTGGAGCTAAGTCTTCTGTGTCTTCTTGCATGTGCTAGCTGTATTAGCATCCGCAGACCCCTCGTCGCCTGCATAGGTGTCACCATGCCGTCTCACCAGCTCAGTGTTAAGATTTGTCTTGCTACCGCTGGACTTCATTGCTGACAGATCTTAGAAATGGCTAGACTTTTGTCCATTTTTCTTCCTTCCAAATGTCTGTCAAACTATAGATTTTAGATTTGATGGTGCACTGGAAATCGTGTTGGTATTGTTGGACATGTTTGTTTATGTGCCGACATCGCGAGCCAGGGTTACGCTAGGGTTACTCTCATCGCTCCTCACGTTGACCTTTTACCTTTCACAAGAGTGGAGACTGTAAGCAGCTTCAGTCAACTGATTGATAACTTTAGAATCGGACCATTGACCTGTTTGTGGTACATTTAGATCGATCCAGGGGTCCGTGTACCGTTGCAGCTGCAACTATAACATTAAAACCGTTCGACTTGTATCAGTAATCACTAAATGTATCAGTATCATTAAATCTTCACACCCTTATTATAATGTTTTAAATTATTTAATTTCATTAAAAAATATATTTCAGAGATTCCTCTGTGTACCACTAGAGGTAGTTTGCTCACCACCAGTGGTACATGCACCATAGTTTTAGAACCAGTGGACTGTATGATTTAACTGTTTATCAGAGTGATGTTCTGTGGAATTAACCTGTTCTTATGTTCGGTTGTTTTGGCGTACAGTGTTCTGTAGAACCTATCAGAGGGGAGAATGTCGAACAGGTTGTGTCCAGGGTGTGATGGGTCTGCAGTGATGTTCCCTGCCGGTTTCCTGACTCTGGACATATAAAGATCCTGATTTTGCTCTGCTGTACTGACTGTCTGGCCTGTTTGGTGGCAGATCCTAACAGGGATGGATGTGCAGATAAGAGACTGGATTATTGTTGCCTGGTTGTTCTGACCGCACTAAGAAGGCCAGCTGTTCAACCTCCCATCTGTATGCAGACTCATCCCTGTCCAGGAGGAAGCTGATTATTGCTGTCATCTGTCAACTTCAGGAGCCTAAGAGACCGTTCTCCTGAGGTACAGTTGTTTGTGTAGAGAGAGAAGAACAATGGGGAGAGTAAATATCCCTGTGGAGTGCCAGTTTTTATTGTCTGGGCGCTGGATGTGATTTGCCCCGGCCTCACGTATGAGTTTGGTGTGAAGGGTTTCCGGGAACCATTGCAACTGTGGTAGTGGATGACAGTAATATTGGTGTTTCAAAACTGGCAAATGTCCTCTACATCTGTGGATGTGTTGTCATAACTGTTCATGACAGAAACATCTCACACCTGCCAGCAGCCCTTCATTCACTTTCACCACCAGTCCAGTGAACCTTAGTCAGTTTAACATGTTTTCCTACTACTTGTTTAACACTTTGCCACCAATGTTAGCAAACCTAACAGGCCTGCTATCAGCAGCACTTTGAGGACAATAGTGTTATTGTTTGATGCTTTGCCATCAAGCGTACATGGCGAGATTAAATTAATAGTAAAACTGATTAGGAGTTAGCATAAAGCTGGTCTGACTCTGTTCCTGAGACTACATTTAAACTCTACACATTATTTAATGTCTAATATTCAACTGCGGCTCCTTACATCTTAACAGCTGCTCTCTGGAGGTCTGTACTGCTGCACTGCTGGAGCTGTATCTGGGGGATAGCTGGGCGTTCTGGCATGAAACTATCAACACTGACATCTTGATATGTAAAACTATAACCTTCTCACACATTCTTTCAAGATTTTCATCACCCTCTCTAATTGTGTTGCTGTAGACTGTTGTGGCCTCGGTTGCACCATCATGTCTAACATCAGCTGTGATGTAAGGCCAGCCACTGGAGAGCAGTAGGCTGTGGAGCAGCCTCGTGTGCTGGGTCTCTGGGTGGGTATTATTACCACAGTGAATGCTTTGCAAAGTGATTTCTTTCCCCAAACGGCAGACATTTTGCTGGATGTTAACCTGCAAAAACAAGCAAGGCTTTAGTAACAAAACCTCCACTGATAAGAGTCCAAATGGAATACCTATTTTTTGTTTATTTAAATGAACTATTGGCATCATAGGCAGGAGCTAGGGCGCCACCCAGTTGGGGGTTCTGAAACTATGATACGTATACCACTGGTGGTACGTGAGCTGCCTCTAGTGGTACGCGGATAACATATACCAAATCCTACATAATTTCAAATGAAAATATTTGAACTATGACATTGCTGAAATGTAATTTAAAAGAACTTTCGCATCCTGTAATATTTAGTTTCACTAGCAGCCTGCTACAATTCACGTCATGCATGTTGCACTCACACACATCAATGACTATTTAAAAGCTTAAACATGATGGTAAGATAGCAGTTTTGGGCTAATTACTCAAACATTTAATTTATTACTCATTACTCTTTTCAAAAGTAAGAAGCTATAATAAGTGACCTTGAAGTCAGGTGTGATGATAGGGAGTGGAGTGTAGATAGTTCTTGAGAAAGTGATTTTGTACTTATTATTAATAACAATCTTTTATTTTGCATGTTATATATTGATTATTTAAAAAAAATGCTGTTTTTATGAATTAACTACTTATTATGTAATGATGTTTTTTATTTAATTAAAATTTAAAGGAGCACAGTAGTTTTTGATTTCGTGCTCCTGTTAATAACAAATAAATGTGCAGAAATTTTACTGTTGAACTATTTTTTAAATCTAGGGCACCAAATGTGCTATGTCCAGCTCTGATCTTTTATAATGCGTAAAAAGGTAGTATGTTAAATTGTTATGTCCATCCACTAGTTGTTGAGATATTTCAGTCCGTACCAAAGGGGTGGACGACTGACACATTGTCTCTCGAGCTGCAGCAGTTGTGTGGCTATAAACCACATTAAAACAGCCAGTATGACAGCTCAGTATATCAACATGTAAGGAGAACAGTGTAACTTATAAAATAGTGTGCAGTGCTGAACATTTTGTGCTTATTTCAGTTTAGTTGGTTATTTCTGGAGACCTGCAGTCAGTCCAACAGAAGCTGAGGAAAAGACAGATTTAATGCACTTTTAATTGAACCATTATGTGTTGGACCTTTGGGGCAGCCCATGCGAGGCCCTCACATCTATATTAGCATTGCCTATCAATATCACTGCACCGATTAAGGACATTAAACTCTGTAATTGCGCTAATTGGAGTTATTTGTAAAACAAATAGAATGGAGCTGCCATTGAAACGCCCCAGGAGCATTTTGTGTGAGATGGATTTGATAAAGCGGCTGCCGCTGTGTTTCTACCTTGTTTTCCAGCTCTCTATAAATGATCCAGAAAATGTCCTAATGAAGAGTACAGGTGGGAAAGTCATTATGAATCCTGGGGGTCTCACTACCACTTCACGTAGGGAGAAGTGCTCTATCTGTGGGTGACCTGGAGAGAAAACATTCCCGGCTAATGACTGCTCTCAGAGCAACCAGCATGGCTGACTGAGGCCTAACTAACCCCTGAAGAAATTTGATTTCAAACCCCCCTTCCTCGTCCTCATCCACCTCTTCCTCCCTTGGAGCCTGTGTGTAAATGAGGCAGTCCGTAAATGAAGCAAGTCGCTGGGCATTATTCTATTATATACCGCTGATTATGGAGGCTTAGAGCACAATGAGATAACAGACCTACCTCTGAGTACGAGCCCTTCAGACAGCTCGGTTATTTAAGGAAACGCAAGAGAAAATCTTCTCAGTTAAAGCTCTGACCCAAATGTTATTACACTTGTTATTAAAAGGCTTTTAGATTGTGTTCCTTTTCTCATATAGAAAATGTGAGGTGGCATTGAGGAGGATCTACTGTCAGAAATGGAATTTAATATTTAAAGGTATGTTTTCATTAGTGTATAATCACCTGAAAATAAGAATCATTGTGTTTTTGTTACCTTAGAATGAGACGTTTTATGTCCACAGAGTGGGCAGGTCCTCCTTTACAGAGTCCGCCATGTAGCCCACTGCCAAACAAACTCTATCCACTGGCGAGTTCCACGGCCACAGTAGTTTCTCCTGCACTCTAGGAACGTGAGATAATCACAGCACTGCTTCCTTACAGTAAAAGCATGTATTATTAACATCAATGAGGTTCAGATTGTGATACATCATTTATTTAAATCACTTCAGAACAGTTCTACACATTGTTCAGTGTCATGGCATGACCATGGATCTCTTCATACTCCATTTTAACTGGGCAGTATTCCATTTAAAACATACATTCAGCTGTTATCTATGTAAAGGAATACAGCCCTGTTGATATATCGGTTGGCTGATATTATTGGCCGATACTCGCAGACATATCGGTATCGGAATATATGCTATCCAATACACCGCAATATGAAAACCGGTATTTTTCCCCGGTATATAATGCAGAAATGAATGCTTATGGTGATATATTGGTTTCACTGCAAAGTTTATCCAGCAGAGTGAGCTGTGATTTAAAATGCTGTGGCAAGCAGCACAGAGTAAGAGAGAAGAAGCCGCTTCAGAAATGACTAGATTAGAAATATTTAACTGAACTAATCTTTCATAAGTTATTTGTTCAAGAAAGCAGCATTCTGGGTGCCTTTGCAGAGTCACATCAGTGCATAATCCACAAAGAAAAGGTCTGTTTTCATCTGGCTACCATATTGGTAATCCGTGAATTTTTACCCTCTACAATCGGTACTGGTCTCATATCCCATATCGGCTGGGCTCTACAAATGAATTTACATAGAATGCAGGTTTAAGACACTTCTGGGTTGGCTTCACCTTTCATACCCGGAAGCTCTGTCCATTATATATACTGTCAATGGTTCAGACAGCATTTTGCATTTGATATCAAATGTCATGACATTTTTATTTCAAAAGTAACTAAGTCATGATCGGAAATATGTTACATCACATTTTCCAACTAAGCTCCGCCCACTACAAACTGGGGAAAAGAGCAGAAAGAAAAAAAACACTTTGGCAGGAAGTAGCGTGCTCTTATACGAGCCTACCACTCACTGGAAGAAGCTGATTTAGAAAATGTGCTTTCAGGCCCTTTAATGAAAACAGGGTTTTGTCAAAAAACATGTTTATGTAACTCGAAGCAAAGTAATGAAAAAAAGACCCGACCCTTACCTAAATCAGAGACAGTTCTAACATAGAGGGAGTGGGGCACTCTGTCAGTCGTCTTTACAATTGGAAAATACAAAGATGGCAGCGCTGACTGAAAGCAGATGCATGACTGATGATCACGCAAGTGAAGATGAAGATGTTCCCAGATGTTTCTGTCAGCTCCGTGCTCTGACCTGCAGCCATAATGTGACCGCTTTAAGCTAATACCATGGCAGCCGCACCAGTAACCAGTGGCTGCAGGAAACCACACTTCAGCTTAGTTCTGCTATTTTAAAGTGGGGTTGTATGAGCTACTTATACATAGTCAGTGCATGGCCTGCAGTATACGGTGGTAAGCCTCTAGTTTGAAGAAGCAGACATGAGTATCAGCACAGAAGCTCAGCTATGTACTGCTGTGGACAGGGGCTGCAGGAAAACATATTTTAGCCCCATAAAAAAAAAATCAATATAGGTTTAAATGTACACTATATTTAGAATATTGTCACTGCTTTACCTTTCTGACAGGAAACTGAAGCCTTATAGTGGCAGGCCAGAAACTCCAGAGTTCTGCTAAATCACAATTTAAATTTTTTTTCCAATGCAGTCTGGTGGCTTTAGAGAGACCAAAGATTGACAGAAACACTTCATTTTCCAACTTGTATGTGTGACACATACAGGAACCATACACTACAGAGACAGGCAGATTTCAGATGCTGACGTTAGCCAAAGTGGACCCTGAGCTGATCTGGTACCTACACCAGCAAGCTGCCGGCACGCGCTGCAGATTCTACGGTTACAGAGAAAGGCTGTCTGACAGCGAGGTAAAGCAGTGAAAATATCCTTAATGTATGAAGCATATACGCTTAAACTGATAAGATTTTCTTTAGGTGGCTAAAGTACATTTTTCTGCATCCCTCGTCCACAGCAGTACATTGCTCTGCTTCTGGGCCGGGGATCCCCGTATGCTGTATGCTCCAAATTTGTTGCGTGTTGACCGCCATCTATTGTAGGTAACACACTGTAGATAAGAACCTCAGACAAACTATTCTATCATGCTGTACTCCTACTGTTTTGTGAAGCACTTGATTGAGGATGAAGCATCTGTATCTGGAAAAAAAAAAATAAAATGTGTGACACCATTGTGCTTTGGAACACTCTCTGTGGCTGCAAGGCACTAAGTATCTGGAATCTTTCATTACTTCAGACAGTTCATTTGCCTCTGTAATGATAAGCCTGTTTTGGATGAATTCATTCTAGATCTCATGTGGTTATGCCCACCATGACTTCACTAATGTCCCACAGTTTGCTGGCCACTTCCTGGTCGGTGGCCTTGTCCAGCAGAACCTGAGGCCGACAATCCGCAAAGCACTTGCCCTGCACGCCGTCCACATCTGGGCTGCAGGCCAAATACACCGACGTCTGAGCTCCTTCCTCAGGGCTCTTGAACAAGCCCCGGGAGAGCAGGTTAAACAGGGGCTTAGCTAACACCGGGACGTGAACATGCCTCCCCAAATTAGTCCTCACTATGCCTGGAGTCAGAGCGTTCACCGTAACGCCGCTGCCCTCCAGCCGACGGGCCAGCTCGCAGGTGAACAGCAGGTTGGCCAGCTTGCTGCGGCTGTAGGCGAAGGCCCTGTCGTAGCTCTGCTCGCTGTTCAGGTCCTCGAAGTTGATCTGACCGCGCTTGTAGAGTTTGGAGGAGACCACCACTATGCGACTGGGAGCTGACCGTTTGAGCAGGTTCAGGAGCAGGTGGGTGAGCAGGAAGTGGCCCAGGTGGTTGACCCCGAACTGCATCTCGAAGCCGTCCTCTGTTTTGGTGTAAGGGCACTGGTAGATGCCGGCGTTGTTGATCAGCACATCTAGCCGAGGCTCCTCCTGTACAGCAGCACAGAGGAGATTCTGATTCTGGGCCATATCTTTAGAACAGAATAAGCTAAAGACAGTAAGGTCACTTCATCCCTACCTGAATTGTTTTTGAGGGATTAAAGCTGCAGTAGGTAACTTCTCTAAAAATAACAACGTTCTTGTACAGTCATGAAGTCAATTTTATAGGCTAACAGTCAGTATTAAAGCATAGTGTAGGGGAGGACAGGGTTGATTGTCACACTGCAGCAGGTCATTTATAAAAATATATTTTGTCATATTTGCTGAATCTTTCACTATATCCTGAGAGTAGAACATGAGACAGATAATCTGTGTTTTCGTTCAGACCCAGTGGATTCTTAAAAATACAACGAGGAGCGCTGGAACGAACCAGAGGAACCTGATTGTTTCACAGATTATCTGTCTCATGTTCTACTCTCAGGATATAGTGAAAGTTTCAGCAAATATGACAAAAATATATTTTAATAAATGACCTGCTGCAGTGTGACAACCAACCCTGTTATTATTATTACAATAGATATCAAAATGTCTTAGATGCATTATAGTGTTCCATAATATTCCAGCAGACAGAAATACTGCTGTAGTTTAATTAAATTCAAGCATTCAGTGGTGTATAATGCAATAAGTTATCCATAGAGTGGATTGAGAATTCAGAAACCTGTCAAACAATGTTGACAATGACAGGTACTGTTAGTCCTAAACTATAAGAACGCCATTCATAAATCTGCCTCTATGAAATTAACGTGATAAACCTTGGTTTATTTGTGAAGGAGGACGTGCTTTAAATGTACTGTTGTAAATGGATGCGTGTTCTTTAATTCGGCATTCATAAAATCAACTGAGCAGCACCTGTTTTACTCAAACCTGATACAACTACTCGACATTAGCTTTCCATCTCAAGTTACTGGATGAAGAATTGAGTTGAAAATTGTTACTTAAATGCGTGAAATTTGTAAAGCCGAATGTAAGCCAAATCCCCTTTCCCCAAGCGTACAATAAACAGTTGAATTTCGCGTGGTACTTTCTACAATAATCGGTCAGATTTATAAAAAATGCACATTTTCTGAATGACGTTTGGCTAGCCGTTCTTTTAGTGCAGGCACTTCTTAGCGACGCCTGCAAAGCAAACTCCGCTGTGGAACAGAAAGCCCTCTGCAGCAGCTACCTTCATTATGTCTCGACAGAAAGTGTGTACGGACGCGAGCGAGGCGAGGTCCAGCTGTTTGACGACCAGCTGTGTGCTGTCGGCTCCAGTCTCCTGTCGAATCTCCCGGGCCGCCTCCTCAGCCCTGCTCATGTCCCGGCAGGCCATTATCACACGGCCCTGGAGCCTCACGATGCCCGCTGCTGTGGCTCTCCCTATCCCGCTGTTAGCGCCGGTCACTATCACCGTCTTTCCATTCATCATTGTGCTGGGTTAGATACCTACTGAGCCGCTGGTCGCACTTCTGAGCCTCAGAGGCTAGCTAACTAGCTTCATGACTGTACAAGGCAGGAATACTTCATTACCCAGAATTCACAACGGGCGGCCGTTTCCTTCGTGGACACTCGTAAAAGTGGCTTTTCAACCACTTTAGTATTTTATTATCGTTTGTCCTGCCATTGTACAGTGTAGACCTTATCATGGAGGGTGTATGCATTTAGTCAGCTGTTTAAATATATTTTCTTCTTTTATAAAAAAAAATAAACATTTATTCATTACATAACTTCCCAATTATTAGGAAAGTATGCACCCATAAATTACTTTAGTGTTAACCAACATGAATGACACCGAAAATTCTGTTGGAGGAAAAAATAATTGATTTGTTTGGCCTCAAAAGTAGTCAGATTTGAATATATTATAGAATTAATTTTAACCAAAGAAACTCCAGGTTGCTTATTCATTTTTGGAGTCAACCTTTATTTAGCCAGGGGAACCCATTCATTCAAAACAACCATCAAAAGTAATATAGAGCCAAGTGTTACAACTCAATACAGCACAAACACCAACCATCAACTGTAACATAATAAATAACAACATACTGTAAGAACACATTCAGTTGCTGGCTGTGTACACTGTACAGTATACAGTGGTTGGCACAGAAGCTATGTAATGCATTACCGTGGACAGGGGGGCTGCAGAAAAACTTATTTAGCCACCTAAAAAGATCAACATCAGTTTAAGTGCCCCCTATATTTAGAATATTTTCACCACTCTACCTTGCCGTCAGACAGCCCTTTCTACCTGCAGCCTTATAGTGAGACCTTGTGTTTGTGAGGTAAAATGACTGTTTTTGGTAGAAGGAGTCTGGTGGCTTTGGAGAGAGCTTAGGTCTATATAAATGCTTTCAGCCTGTAAAGGGCTTTCTGCCGGCAAGATAAAGTTGCTTTTTTGTTAGGCTTTTAAAAGGTAAATGACTGTTTTCTATTTTTTGTCCTAAAGGGATCATGTATTAAAATCAGAAATACTTTATTGATCCCAGAGGGGAAATCTGTTTCATTACAGTTGCTCAAGGTACTCATTAATTATTCATTATAATAATGATGTATTATATTACAATATCTAACAACAATATACATAGAAAATAGAAGTATATGTATGCTACAGTATATGACAGACAGAAGTGTAATGAATAAATAGTAATAATGAGTACTGATAATGTCAGTGTTGAGAGCTGAATCCTTCAAACATTGCATTAGTGACAGAATGAAGCAAGTACTGCACATTAACCAGTGAAAGTGAAATGTGCTCAATGCCCCGCAGTTTGAAAGGTACTGTCATAAGGACAGGATTAATCAGCAGCAATATTAGAAAGAAAATGACAACTTTAGTGTGAAACAATGGTTGTAGAGTGTGGGACAGTGGAAAGTAGACCTCAGGACAGTTGTGGGCCCTGCTAGAACTGAATTACTGCAGACTAACATTAGTCTGGCAACAATTAGGACTGTATAACGTTTTTACATTCTATACATCGCTCAGACCACAGAGAAAATAAAGGGCTATTTACGATCAGTTGGAATATCAGCCATTATCATACAATCTACACTGTACACACATTCTTGCCCGTTTAAAGGCAGATAAACAATGCAGATACCATTTCCAGGAAAGTAGTAGCACTGACCATCTGTGTGATGGACTGCTGAGGACAGAGAGACCACTGCAGGACCCAGAGGTGGCGATGTCGGTCCACTGATCCATCCGTCTGTCTTCTCTGTCCAACACTTTGAAGCAGAGCTATGTATCTTAACACAAATGTAGTGTAGATATTCACACACGGTCCACACAGCTCAAAGGTTTCCCAGGATAAACATTTGAGTCTATAATAAAGTCTTTGGATAATATGAAGTTTACAAGTTTACAGAGTAGATTCATCTTTCAGTTGGAAAGTTCCTCTTGTGCCACCCTCATTTATCTTCACACAACATATCTCATTATCTAATACGACGGCTCACTGAATATTCTCTAAAGTAGAATGTTTCCTCAATAAAAGAAAGTTGGGAAAACCTTTTTTCGATTATTTAAAAACTCAAAAGTTAAGTTTGACTGACAGCTTAAACATTTAGTGAAGCCACTTGCCTTGAACTTATAAGTTATCTCAACTGTTTTGTTTTTTTACAGTGTAGTTCGCTTTATTTCTGAACTTTGGACGGAGCAGGGCTAGCTGCTTGCCCCTGCTTCTGGTTTTTATGCCAAGCTAGTCTAACCACATCCTGACTCCATCTCCATCTTAACACACAGACATGAGATTGATATGCATCTTCTATTTTCACCCTTAGGTGTCCTATATGAGGGACGAATGGACACACTGCAGCCACTCAGAATCCAGTGTTCACAGTTAAATACTGTACGTAGGAATGTTTGGCTTTTAAGGATAATTTATAATCTGATCATGCATTTTGCTCTGTCTGTAATGTTGTTATTCTGTAACTTGTAATTGTTTTTATCAGTGAGACTTAAGAATTAAAATCTCTTCATCAACACACAATAACTTTACAGTTTAGGCTGCTTCAACAGCATCCAGAAGGCCAATTTGCTGACAATAAACATACTGGAAGCAGCTGTATATTAAATGTTACATATCGTTATTATGCAGACATTAGTGTCGCACTGCAGATATATACACACAAAATATCAGAGTCTCTACACCTTCAACATGCTACTGAATAACCTCATCATCTGCAGTCTCAGATTTCCTAAATAAATCAATTAAATCCTTCAGAGGCCCTGGTGGCTTGTAACCAAAAGAAACAACAGCAAGTCAAGCTCCTCAGCTTCCAGCGTTGGTACTGAGGCTGGGCCTGTTATGGTTGGTTTCACAGCTGGGGCTCTACCAGCAGCAATAATGTGTTAATAACATCTGTAACATCTGGAAAACATCGGAGTTAAAGCCGAGCTTGTAACGAACAAATAATGGCGGGTCCAGGCCGCTCCTCCGCTTCAGCTCTGCGCCGGGTGAGAATGAAGCTTCCCATCACACCAGTAGCTGCTGCAGGGCTTCCTACAGAGACAAATAAAACCTGCTATACCCTTATACAAACTATCACAAGAATATGAACACATTTACGGCTGCACAGGGGAACGCATGGGGAGCAGAATGAAAACCGTCCAAAGCACTTTCAAGGAGCAGTCCAACTGTTTGAAAAATGCAGATTTTCATCAAACCCACAGTTAGCTGAAAACATCAATACTACCCTTAAAAAGCATAAAGTTGCTTTAATAACACATGCTTGATGACAACTGAGTTTTGTATTGTACATGCATTTCTACACTATAATGAACAGCACAGAACTGCAAGATATTACCTTTCCTTTAATGCAGAATTACATTTTAATGAGTAATGCAAATACAATGACGCCTGACAACAGACTTACAATTACTCGTTACTGCAGTTTTATAGTTTTGCTCATCATTTCTGTCAGTGATAATAACTTTGTACTCACCAAGTTAATAGCTGAGTTTCGGGGTCATGGTGACATCACTAAAACTGAGCTTGTGTTTCTTGACCCGTTTGACTTACAGTATCTGTGTACAATTAAGAAAATTGCAGTATTATTATTAATGATAAAAATGATTAATGTAACAACAAAATTCATATCGAAGTTCTATTAAATTGGAATCATTCTTTAACAATACCTAGTATAGTATGTGTCAGTGTGTGCAAAGAGCTGCATGAAAACTGACAGACATGGTATTAGGAGGCAAATATGTTTGATTTATAGACGATGTACAAATGTGTAGTGACATTTGTTTATGTCTACCCCATCTGCCTCTTATTTCAGCGTGCTAGTGGAAATATTGAATTGATTTTGGTGCTAGAGCAAAGGTCATGGGGTCACCAAAATCATAGTGTTGGTCCAGACACGTCCTGGCGGTGATCCTACTCATTGCGCGGCTCGTGAGCCTCAGGCGGCTTGCCAGGCTTTAATCACCGGCTCGCATGGTCGCAAATAATTATATGATAATGCAGCCGATACACATCATTTTCTAAAATATTCAAAACAGCTACACTTTTCATACTGAGCAGCACAATGGTGAAACTGCTGTTGCATGGGTAAATAAAGTGTGGGCTGGTGTAGGATCATTTGGGGTGATTTGGGATGAAAAAAAGTTCTATACTGTACACTGCACCATAATCATGCAAACGTTGTCAGGAGGATGTCATCAATTTAGCAACAAGTTATTAGTTTGGCTATCGCAGGGTCTATGCTAGCTAACATATTGTGCAAAAACAATACAAATTTACCGTAAGTCCAATGCTCAATCTCCTTCTCGCTCTGTTTTGGTCTTCACTAACCCCTGAGAAAAATATCTGACTCTTTAGCTGCTGATTGATCCACCATGTTCATCAGATAAGTCTCTAACTCTCTGTCTGTCTGCTGTTTGGTGCTGAGAAGGTAGTGTACAATGCCGCTGAAATTCCACCGGACACGGCTTTATGTTGTCGCGTCTATGATGAGGTTTGGCGCACACGTAGTGTAAAAATGCTTTGAGTGGTCGGAAGACTAGAAAGGCCCTATACAAGTACAGGTCCATTTAGCATTTACCATACAAAACAGTGTGTTTCTCCACTCTCAAGATGAACTTCTCATCGTCCGTGGTGTCAAATCTTCACTGACTGACTGCACGGGGTATTTTATTTAAATTTTTTTATCTATCTATACGGTTTCTGTGTCTCACTTCCTGCCAATGCAAACTGCTCTGTTCTGCTAGATACAGATAGGCCGTGGCGTCAAAAAATGACCAGACCAGTATTCTCCATGGAGTGGAGGGACTCTTCTGGGGCTAAGGTTGGGTACCAAACTCCGTACTTTTAGGGGTACCGACCAAATTCCTTCTGTACTACAGAGTACAGATTAACGTTAAATCACTCGGTTCCGAATATCGATACATGGGAGCACATATGGGCGAGAGATTACGGTATAGACAGAAATAAAGAGAGTGCCGGCAGTTTGTTCAAGTCACAGTGAGTCAGGGCACGTGGACTGTGTAACGCAAAGTGCAAAGCTGGCCCCAACATATCTAACCTAAGGACTCACCTGGTCAAACGCAAAATATATGTACAAGCTGAAGAGTGGAACGTTACCATGTTAAGTTAAGCCAATTAAGTCCCCCGCAGCAGCTGCGGCTAATGTTAGCACGCTTGCAGCCGGCGTTGGAGTTGAACTCTCCGGGTACGACGAAACGACGAGCCAGGCATCAACAACTTTATTAACATCTTCAAGTAATAAATTAGCTACCGAACCCAATAGTACTTGAATAGCTTTAGTAGGTGGAGGTTAGACTTATTCTTTACAACTGAAATTACATTTTTGTTTATATAGAGATGCCATAAAGGTACTGTTGGGTACCTTTATGCCATTGTAAATGGTACCCAACCCTATCTAGGGTGCACCATGGAGCTTCTGGTGGAATCACGAGCAGTCCCTAGAATGGGTGCAATCAGCGCCGTGGCAAGTCATAAGTAGTCATTAATACATTATAAATAGTCACAAGCAAAAACCATTAAGCACTGCTGCGTTGGTGTTTTGAAATATCTAAACTAAGGTCTTGTTTCCTAAAATCTGAGGTGGCGCCTCCACCTCTCACCTTCTGACTTGTGTCAGAGCGAACAGCACCATAACCTCACCACCACCAGTCCTGAGAGATTCAACTCCGAGTTTTAGATTTATCATACACATTTAACTAAAACCATGTCCCAAGAACTGGATACACTTCAGTGTGCTATCAGCTGTATGTATATCACCACAATAGAAATCCTATCACACATGTTCTTTCCCATTTTTCTATCCAAACACAGCAACAGCACAGTCCACGCATTCCCACGTTCAAGCCCGTGTTTTCTCACATGAAGAGAAAAAAAATAACAAAACAATTAAAGAACTATCTGTCATCCAGCTAATAAAAAACAGCTTTAACTGACATAATGTATGGCCTAGATGACAACTGCAGCCCCAGTGTGTCACTAGGCCCGGGCCAAGGCTTGGCTTTGATAAATGGAGGCCGGCGCTCGGTGTGGAGGTGAAGAAATAGGGATCGGTCTGTCTCAGCTGCGAAGCTCAACACTTAGAGCCAAGCGCTCCCAGGACACATGTCCGTCTGCACACAGCCCTGACCAGCACGACCCATCGGCCCCTCCAGGTGACTGCCTCGGGCCCCGGCTACACGTCGCATGATGTTTAAATGAGAGGCAGCTCTGGCCTTAACCCTCAGCTGTTAACAGCTACAGCGGAGTGTTCAGCAGTCTCACAGCTCAAATATCGGAATGTTTCATATTAAAACAGGGTAAATAAGTAAGATATATTGTATTTTAACTATCTGTGTGTGATCTGGTGATCTTTGAGCTTTCAGGTTTCAGGCGCATATCGTAAAATCTGCTGTGTGACTCCCATTTGCCCTACAGTGCCTCAACAGAAGTGGTTGCATATTGAGCCTTTAACCTTAACCAGCCCTTCTCCATAGCTAGATGATACTGTCCTAGGACACAGCATAGCTAGACTGAGGCATAGGTGGACTGAAGGCCACTTGATGACTAAACAAGCAAACTACAAATGTGTAGTCTCCCTCCTTATATGCACAACTACACGACTGCACAAACCAAAAGTCGATATGCATTTGTCATGCAATTTCATGACTTTAATTTGATTATAAGCTCAGTATGATGTAGTCTGACAACATTGTTAACTGTCTTTTCCAGCATACTAAACACACAGGGCTACTGACTGGAGTCCCTGGGGACCCCAAAAATAAACTACTGTAAGAAACAACCATCACAGAAAAATGTTTACTGATTTCTTCTCAAAACATTATTAAATTATGTCATTAATGACATCTGTGTAATATTTTCGTAAAGTTACAGTTAATTTGCAAATTGTGTAAAACTAAAATAAATAGAGTATCTGTCTCCTTCAAAATGATGGATAGAGTGCCCCTACCAATGAATGCTCTCAGCTCACAGTTTGTTTGGCTGCACTGTAAACAGATACACCAGTTGTTCTTCTTCTGTTGTATGTGTGTCAGTGCAGCTAATTGTTTTTTTCTTTATGAAAACCGGCCGTTTGTTAATTGCACTTCATACCACCGACCAAAGTGTGAAGTATCAAAGGACATTTACTCTTGTCACTGTAACAAAGTTTTTTGGTGTACTTTTTTATATGAAGTATTGTACCACATGTCAAGTTACATCTGAGTGTAAACAAAAGTCCTGATAAACTGTGTGAGAATGGGAACAGAAAGAAGTTGCGGTTGTGTTTTTGGCCACAGGAGGGGGGCCCCAGTGACACCGTTGCTATTCTGAAACAAACGTGTTCTACATGTCACTGGCCGAGTGTTGGGGGGGAAAGGGGGTTCCCCCCCCCTTTTTTTTTTTTTTAAAAAAAATTAAGGATTGCCTCAGTAAACAAATACACACATAGAAATCAGCACTGTTGTTATAGCTAACAAGGTAGCTTACAAAAATACCAACGTACTCCCACAAAATGATGTTATTAAAGATATTACTGTACAGCAATAGCTTTTAGAGCTGTCACGATCAACAACAAATTTCAGGTGCTAGAATTTTAGCCCGGGGTGGGAGAGGGGGCTTAGAACCACAAAAAGTTTTGTGTCCGCCTTCGAAAGAGGCTCAGGGATCGTATTGTGAAGAATTAGCATTTAACTTTCCCACTCATGACCAAAAGGTGGTACCAAAGTTTCCTTCTACACATGCGTAGTTGTTGTCACGCACAGTCCACCTGCAGGAGGTACCAGCCTTCCAACTCCCTAACACACACACTCACACACACACACACACACACACACACACACACACACACACACACACAGCCCAGTTTGTGTTGTTCACATGAGACAACAGAGAGGTATGCTGTTCTTTAATGTCAGATAAAACGCTTGATGTGAAGCACTTTAACCAAACTCTGAGAAAGCGCAAACTCTACCTAAATGCATTCAGCTGATTAGTTTCCTGTTCTACAGTCATTCTCAAATTGGTCTCAGCTTTAGCCCCCAGTAGAATTCAAAAATAGTTTGGATTTTTGGCCTTCAGAGCTCCTCCTGGGAGCCACAGTGACAGGCCTGACCTCGGCTGACCCTGCCTGTGATTACCCATCCAGTAGTAGGAGCCCCTGGAAACCTGAGAGCATGCTGGATGTCATGGATTTACAGAGAAGATGAGTCTAAAGAATTGAATTGTTATAGGATAATCAGGGCGTTGACTGATGATGATGATGATGATGATGATGTTTCTGACTTTACTGTTGATTTAGTTAAATCTTATTTTGTTTGCATTTCAAACACCCTTTATTTGTAAAAGTGAGATGATGTTACTTGTAGGCTTATGGTGGCTAATGCTACTTTAATGAGATATTTCTGTGTAACTGACAATACTGAGTCACTGCTGACTTTGTGTTACACTATGTTTTAGCAGTAGGTGCTTTTAAGCAGTATAACAGAACATTCTGGTTTATTACAACTTTAATCTGTTTTTCTTAGCTTTGACAATATTTCTATCAGTTAGAATAATATTATATTACAATTTTATATTATTATACTTGTCGAGATGTAGGAGAGTGGGTGCACTCACTTTTGGTTCAACATTCAAATAAAGTGGTCTAGATGAGCTGATATGACAGCATATTAGGGCAATTGTAGGTTGAAAAAATAAATTACAGGGCCAAGGGAGGTAATATTTTGAAAAAAACCAAACAATAATTCTATATAATGACATCATAGTAAATGCTGCAGACATTCATAGTTTTTGCATTCATTTGAATGGTCAGGATCACTACACTAATTTATCACTCTAATCTCAGAATTTTTCCTGGAATAATTCCCACCTCATATTACCCCTTTGGATTTTTTTTATCGTAAGCGTAACTGTTAACATGATTGTCTACTACTCGCTTATTTTTAATAACCAAGTTGCCAGATGTCACCAATTATAGGACTGATGATCAGAGATAATAAAAACATAACCCCAGATGTAATAAGCCATATTTTCCCTTTAAATTTCACAAAACTGTTATTTTAAACTGTTATTTATGTGTTCTGGAAAAGGAATGCAAAGAAAAAGGAACATTCTGGACAATTGCTATTTCTATATTTTTTCACCATTTACTGGGCAGACAGGAAACAAGGGAAGAGAGAAAGAGGGGTAAAAAGAGGGGCGGGTATGTGATATATGCCATAGTTAATTATTAATTATTATCTGCTGGGGCCCCGCCTCTTTTTTTATTCTTCACATCATTCGCTCAGTGTTTGTGCGAACAAAGTGCAACACCATCACTACCATCAGTGTGAAAGGGTCTGCAGGTATCCCCATAGGTACAATTCATTGTGTGCCTCTCTGTGATGGCAGGGTTTTTGCCCCACCTCTGAGCATGGTCATTAGCATAAACACTTTGGCCTTAAGTTGTGTTTGGATGACACCTTGTGAATACGAGTTGTTTGAGACATACTCTTGAGTACAGTGGGTCAAAGCTGCAGAAAGAAGTGGGTCCCTAAACTGTGATAGTGCTTTTCAAAGTGGGGTCAAGGGACCCCAAGGGATCCATAAGAGGGTTTCAGGGGTCCCCCGCAAAAAATGGAAATATTTTCACTATAATTCCATCCACAAGTAATACAGTGACAGAATGTTTGACTATTTTTCTCCTGGGTTTCATACACTGTAATAAAGGATGAAGTGATAAAGGAAAAACTCTATAGGATGGGGGCAAAACAGGAGTCTAAGGTCTAATTTGTGTCAGCTTGGGGGTCCTTGATGTGAAAAAGTTTGAGAACCACTAGTTTAGAACATCATAATACAATGTTATGATCAATTCTGATAAACTGGAATTATCTTTATGCATGTCTCATCTGGGGATGGGAACATATACGATATTATCTCGTATCGTGATAAAAAATACTGAACACTGATTTTGCATTATCGTGATAGTTGTCAATATCTTCACATTGTTTGATTTAAAAAAACTGTGTAGCTTGTCAGCATACAGTCCTATATGGATTTCCTGATCAATTATGAGGGGGGGGGGCAAAAATCCTAATCCTGTCACGATATCTGAAGGCTTGGCTTGCCAATTGTATCCCTTCACAAATAAAGTTAAACCGGATGTGTGGAAATTGTATAGATTCCAAAATAAAGAACAGGGAGATGAGGTGCCTATCTGTGCTGCAAAAGATATGTGTTTCTTCACAAAATATAAAGTGATTGCAGTATGTTTTAGTGCGATTTAAAAGTATGAAATATATTTTCATGATTATCGTGATAATATAATAAGATAATGGTGACATGAAATTTATATTATTATTGTCCCATGCCTATTCTCATCCTACTTTGCACCAGAAAATAATTTCCCAGAGTTGAAGTTCAGCCCTGTGCTGCGTCCAACCTTTGCTTTCCTCATCAGACATCAGCCCTGTGTTTAGCAGAGATTAAAGCAAGAGTGATATATTGTAACGCACTTTGCAAAGCACAATTAGAGAGATGTAATTTGCCAGCTGCACTAATCCATCATATGGGTATATACTGTCAGCCTGGGCTACATCAGGGGCTGCAGCATTCGCCCAAATCTCTCCCTCTCTGCTCATTGATTTGCACTTATTACCCACTCCAGAGTCATTTCAGGGATATGTAAACAACTTAACAGCAGGCATGTTCCTGTACTGTGTGGATGACTGATTATGCTTGACTGACTTTCATGCAATGCACGGGGCCACGGTCCGCTTGAAACCCCCCCCCCACCCACACCCTACCCTCCGGTAGACGCTGCAATCTCCCCCCTCTCCCTCCCTCTTGTTGAGCTCAATGCAAGGGAAGTGCGACCCACTAAAAAGTGTGGTAGCCATTTTCCGCATTAACACTCTGACCCCCGCACTCACTGTTGCTTCTGATGTTAATCAGGTTTACAGCCCGGGGAGAGAAATGGGGAAGGAGAGAGAGAGAGATTTTGGGTGTGGGAGTCCAGGAGAGTGCAGACTCTGTGGTAGTTCGCGAAGGTCTACACAGTCACTTAGCGAGAAGATTTCATCGTTATTCACAGCTCTGAGGTTGGATGAAACAGCGGCGGGTGAAACATTGGGATGCTGGCTGGCTCCCCTGAACTTTGTGTCGACTCCCTTGGTGCTGCTCTGTTTATAGCCCCTCAAAGCTTGGTTGTTTTGGCACAACCAGTGGCTTACAAGCAATGAATTATAATTTCCTACATTTTCTCTCTGGAGCTCACTCACTCCATTTTAAACCCTGTCATATAATCAGTGCGGTCAAATTTTGACATTCCCCATCTGGAGCAGCAGAAATGGTAATCAGGTTGCTATTGTATTTATACCTTCATAAAAGACAAATACATGTCACTTTGAGGAGAGTTGCTTTTGATGCTGTGTGTCAGATCTACACCAGTCTGGCCATGACAGCATTCTTGTTAACACACACTGACTCAAAGGCAGAATAAAGAGCATGCAGAGGTCCGAAAACTCTGCACCTAAGTCATGATAAAAAAAATATATCATCCAAAAAACTCACATATTATCACTGTATATAGAGGCAAAGTCCCTCCCCTTCCAGTGTCCCCCATGGGACCTTATTTTGGAAAAAGTCAGTGGCGGGAGACAAATAATGTTTTGATTCCATTTGAATTTTGCTATGAAGTGGACATATTTAAAAGATAATTTTGCAAGCCAAGAAAGTCACATAGAGTTTTCATAGTATCATTTAGTTTTGAGTGAAACTGCTTGGTGAACTACAAGGTTACAATGTAGATTTATCATTTTACAAAACAGGATTGTAGAATTTAGATTGTAGAGATTAGGTTGTGGTTCCCTTTATGCTACTCACAAAGATGTAATATGCAAAAATGATATACAGTAGATGGGTGAATAAATTATAAAAATGAACCTATTTTACATGGTGCAGTGCTAAGGATGAATTCATCAGTCTCACAGCCTGTGAAGAAGCTGCTCTCTGTGTTTACTTCAACTGCAAACATGAGAAATAAGTCAACTGGTCAACAGTGGATTATAAGCAGTCTTCCTTAGAATCTGGTGAAGTTCTCCAGACAGCTGACCTTTGAGAAATCTCTAAATGATGATAGTATATTTTTAGTAGAGTTTAGTTGTTTAGGTCATGTCTTGTGGCTTCAGTAGCTTTAGAAAGACATTCCTCTGAAATTGGACCCCAGAGTATTTTAAAAGCATCTCTCATTAAATTCAGAGTACAACAAAATCCAAACAGAGTTCAGTAGAACTGATCTATTTCTCTCACAAGAGTCATTTCATGGATCACTGCAATACAAAATATGGCGCATCAACAGTATAGGGGTCTGATTCTCCTTGGAGACATATATATACTAAGGACGTGCTTTAAATTCAAGTTTAATTTTATCAATCTGTAGTCGTCAGCATCCTGGGAACTGCTGTCAGGCACCAATGGATTCATTTCTGTTAATATCTTCAAGTTGTATTTATCACATACTTGACATATCTAGTACTGTACTTACATAAATACCAAACAAATATCAAATATTAAAGTTTGATATACCCTGCTTTATGGTCTATTTTACTCTAAATGGGACCATCATTTACTAAATGAACATCACGCTGTATGGAAGAAGACTGAAACTAGAGATTGAGACCATACACTCATTAGGAAACTGTTTACTGAGCTCATAAATCAACTGAGAAGTCTGCTCATTTCTCTATAAGAATGCATGGTATCGGTTTTTATTGCAGCTAATGGAGCTGCCCCCGACTGGGCTTTACATATGCAGGTTTTAAGACACTTTCGCGTTGGCTTCACTTTACAGAACCAGGACTTGTGTCCATTATATATACGGTCAATGGCCATCAGCAAACTTTAAGAGGGTGTTGAGTCACAAGCGGCCACATAGTCGTAAATGGACCTGTACTTGTATAGCGCCTTTCTAGTCTTCCACCACTCAAAGCGCTTTTACACTACATGCCACATTCGGCCTTTCACACACATTCACTTAGTGATGGCAAAGCCAATCGAACAGAAACTAACGCATTCATACACATTCACACACAATTCGGGGTTCAGTATCTTGCTCAAGGATTATTTGACAAGTATGTACAAGCAACCATCGATTAGTGGAAGACCCACTCTGCCTCTGAGCCACAGCCGCCCCCTTAGTCGTGTGTGCAGGGGGTAGAGGATGGGTCTCATGACCAGCCTTTCCTCACCAGAAACTCAGAAGTATAATTCAATTGTGCAAGCAGCTTATTACTATTAGGAATGGTAATATATGCCCATTTGCATAAAGTGGTGTGAAGTCCTAGGTCCATGAGCTTGGTGATGAGCCTAGTGTGGACTATGGTGTTGATCAATAAACAGTATAGGCCTACTCACATAGATCACCTTCCTGTTATCCAGATGGATAAGGACCAGAAAACAAGGCTTTTTAGCCTGACATGTGTTGCAACTCAGCTCCCTCTCTCATTGCACTGTCCTCCACGGCTGAGCTGCTGAAAATACCAGGAGGTTGTGGGGAATTGGGAGTCTGTTGAAATTCCAGTGGGTGGGGAGTTTCAGTGCCTGGCCAAGAAGTAAATGAGTCATCGCTATTGATTAACAACCCTATCAACCTTGGCAAATATATGATGCTCATTTAGAGCTGTGGGCCAATAAAAACCTCACTAAATGTATTTTTAAAAGAATTAGTAGCAATTCAATAGTATCATAACAACAAACCCGACTTCTAGCTGTGGGAAACAAATACAGCCAATGGCTATATTGATGTGACAATTTAAAGTTCATTTAGCAGTGTGCACATTATATGAGCTTACTGTTAAAATAACACCTCCACATAATCGCACTCTGCAGTTTTGAATACGTCACCATCACATCATGCTACACCTGTAATTTTACTGTTGGCCTTCATTCCAAGTTCAACATCTCATGTTTTTGCAGCTTGACTTAATTTGATAGATGATGTACCAGTGGAGCAGGCTGGTTCACTGTAGAAGTAAATACTCCTGTTTTCTTCCACTTTCACAAATGAGGATGGACAGGACAAAGGATGTGGACAAATACTCCACATACCAGATTTCCGACCAGGTCTCTGATTTCGGGGACGATGAAGACATGGTAGGTTCAGGCAGAGAAAAGAGAGGCGTGAAGCTGGAGATGAGTGAGAGAGAGGTCAGGCATCAGTCATCGCCCACCTCTGAACGCCTGAGCAGGTGTTAAGGTAGGGATTAGCCCCTGAGTGGCAGGAGTCGACCTACCAAGAAAGCCACCTAGGTGTTAGGGTTAGGGTTAGGGCAGACTGGGCGATACAGCAACTTGCTATCGTCTCTTGAGGTACAGAGAGGTATGACAAGACAGGATGGGCTGAGGCTTGCTGGTTAGCATGCTAACTGAAGTATCTCTGCAACACAGTACATAGAGGCCTGTGACATAACGTCAAAACTGTTATTTCTTCATATTCTGTTGATTATTGATGATTTTAGATAACATCAAAAATATATCATATATACTGTAGCTCCATTTAAACATTGTATAAACTTGAACTTGTAAACATGGGAAACCAAATCAGAAGTAAACAATTCCTGAGACATCAGAGAAAAAAAACAATTAGACCCTGTAATATGCTTAATATGAGTTTCCAAAATCCCTAACTTCCTTAAAATCACAGTTTAGCCATTTATTTAGAAAAACTTTCACAACTCCTGCATCATTTTAGTCTTACTACAGGAAAAGGACACATTCCAACAGTGTCCCTCAATGAGGAGCAAGTTTAGTTTGCATCTTGCATTTGTCAATCTAAAATCTGAGTTTGCCAAATGCCTTCAGGGGTCTATAGTGCCTGTTTTGCAAACAAGCATTCATATAGAAAAATGCCTTTATAAGAAGCCACTTAAGTCATTTCTGACAGATAAGTCCTATCTGATTCTTAGATGTAGGTCTCAGTCTAGTAGAGGTGGAACGCACCATTTGCTCGCTCTTGTTTCCCATGTTACCATGCCAGGCAAGCATTTGCACTTGCATATCAGATGTAATAACAAGTAGAGGGTGACAAAATGGCAAAGTGATATGGAGTGTGGAGACCCCACAAAATACAGTCAGTGATTTATGGGGAAAACTTCAATTACTTGAAACACAAAGGTTATAAATCTAAACTTCTACCTTGCTCTTTAAATAACATTCATGAGAAATTATCTTCAAATGTTTCCCACTGTTTTCCTCACGTTGTTAATTTAAAGGTGTGTTTTGCTTCATTTTTTGCTTGGTCCTGTCAGGTTGTTGGCTTTGGCAGTCCTCCTGTTTAGTTAAATGATGTGTAGAGGTGAAGGAGGAGGAGTTGAGAGTGAGAGAACAGGATGTGTAGGTACTATACATGTAAGGGAATTTTGTTTGTGAGAATCAACCAAAACCAAAGACACGAGAGAGCCCATACAATTTCTCTTGTTGTGCAGTTATTTTTCATTGCAAGTTTTTTTTCCTGTTTTTTCTCCCAATTGCGAGCAATGACCTTAACTAGAAGAGTGTAATGAGTGGGAGGTTCACACACAAACCACCATTATTCCAACCACCCAGGTTTCAAAACTCCATCATGCATGTGCAACCAGTAAGAGTAACTCGCGGAGCAACAAGGTTTAGAACCCTCAGAAGCCTTACAACTTACAAACACAGCCACTTATGTTTCTTGATACCAGTCTATACCGTAGGTAACACTACCTTGAAAAAGGCTTTCTGCTTTTGTGATGGCAGGTGGAAACAATACCCAGTACCTCCTGTGTGCTTTACTGATTCCTAAGCATGATCCCACATACACTAGCCATACAGTATGGCCTTTGACGTAACCATATCTTCGGAAAATGCATGATCATAGCTGGCCCTATTCTGGCCCTATATTGTACTAGAAAAGTTTCAGCACCCTTTTTTTGTGTCCAGTGTTCAGGCCTAGTCTTCACTGGTTGAATTCCCTCATTTAACCATTTGTCTACACATTACTACACATGCAGTGCTGACAAGAGAGGAGAGTGAGAGACAGTTGGCTGAGATATGGCTATGTCATGCACTATGAGTGAGATCTGTAATTTGTTGTTGTATCTAGGCTGAATGTAAGTGGGCTTTCACTGAGCCAGACCAACGCCAGACCAATTTTGCCACGTTGTATGTTGCAGAAAACACAAAAAATTCACCAAGTCATCTCATGCTTTGCAAATGTGATTATGTCACGTGGTAATTTGACATTTGAATTACATTTTTTTTCAATTGTTTACACGCAATTTTGAAAACCGGGTTCTTTTTTTCAAAATATAATCACAATTATCCAAACACCACACTCAATTTGCATAATTCATGGATGGTTGCAAAATGACACACTTCAGTCAAAACATATACACATATTTGTGAAAATTAGTTTTCATTTAATCAACACAGTCCTCAATGATCAGACACTACTGCAGCCAGTTTCACACTGCTGTGATAAATAAAAAACACATTTGTAAAAAAGCTAATTTTAGGAAATAGCATGTGCTAGATTTTTGGCCAGAGATTGTTATATAAGGGATAATTTAGATGTAAAAAAAAAAATAGTGACAAACCCACAACATTCTTCATGATTATTTTGAGATATAGGGAGAATGTACACAAATAGGCCTACTATAAACTTACCAAGCACTGCACAACACTGATGCTGCAGACTGAATATTTCAAGTATTTATTTCAATACTTACAGTATTTCTTACCATAATCAGTTACAGTAATCAACCAACAATGAAATCAATGAAACAAATAAAATCTGTAGACAAATAAAAATTACTGCATGAAGTACATACACTTTGACTCTGAAGAAAAACTACTGTAAAAGCAACAAGAATACTGTAACTATTCATCATCTCTCTGTCTGGCTGAGTGCTGCGTTTTCAAATTAGCACATGTGTGCTTCCACACCTGGTGGATGTGATTATCCAATTTGTTCATTAGTGTGGTCATTGGCAATCCGGGGCTTTGTAATGACAAGGAAGTAACCTCACAATCCTTATCTGTGTCTAAGGTGTGAATATGTGTGTAGAGTTTTACAAATCACTGTGTGTAATGTTGTGCAAATCTGTGGAGGTGTTTTGTTCCTTGGAATAGAATTTCGCAAATTATGTGGAAATTTTTATTTTAGTGTGTAAACAACTGTAAAAAACTGTAAACACACACATTATAAAAAACATAGCACAAACTGGTGGACACACAGAAAGCCACGAGACTCCCAAAAGCCTCTCAGTTCTTGAGACCAAGGGCAGTTGCCCACATTGCCTAGTTAGTAAATCAGCCTTGCAGTAGTCCAAAATCTACTCCTATAAGGGTTTTCTAATCTTTCTACCTCTATTTCTGGCGCTGAGAGACAGTCACTACATACACAATGGCAGAGGTTGCTTTTCAGCTCAACAGCAAAGCATGCAGCCCAACCCCAACCTCTCAACCCCCCACACTTGTTCCTTCCAATGTCGAACTGAAGCTTTTGCCTACACATCCAAAATATTTCACAATTGAGGTTTCAGAAGAGTACATGGTGAGAAAAAGACGGCGTTTGTGACTTTGTTATCTGCAACTGGGGGCAGAAAAAGCCAATCTCGGGTAAAAAAAGGTTTCTGCATTCTGTCCATTCTGGATGTTTTTTTGATTCTGAAATACTACTTTTTGCCAAATGGATCTGTCTGACATCCAGTGACACATGTCGGGCTGTTTCTCATTTGGTTTTATCATCTACAGAGTTAGATCACACGGAAGGGGGCTGACAGGCGAACATTTCAGACTGATTTTCTGTCTCTGTTCTCATGCTATAAGAGCATCCCAAATTGGCACTCTGCAGGGAGCTGGGAGGATGTGATAAAACAAGCTGACATCATCATCATCAATGGAACACAATCATCTAATCTCAAGAGTTTTGCTTGCAACACTGCTGTGGAGCAATCCAAGAATGCTGAGAAAAAATGCAGCTGAATTTAATTCTCGTCTGTCGGTTAGCTGAGTGGCTGCTGGTGCTCCATGAGATGAATGTTATTAGATCAAAGTTAGGATTGTTAAAAGGCCCCTTTATATCCACCAAGGATTATTGAAACCATTTGGATGAGAGGAGACAGAGAGTGGGTCCATTGTCTAAAGTGAAGTCCATGCAGGCAGCTCAGTGACTGGTTTCCTCTCATAGTGTCTATGTGATCAGTAGGTAACTTTCCAAACAAGGCAGCTCAGCAGCATTGTGTCAACATTGGATGGCTCACTGAGATGAGAGGGTGGCTAATATCTGAGAGGTACTACATGCTGGGTTGGGTTATATTTCAAATGAAAGCAGCACCAAGACAGCTCCTTCCTACCTCCAAGGCATGGTCAAACCTAGCCCCGTTTGGGGCAATCTCACGCACTGCACGGGAGATGTGCTTCCCATAGAAATTCTTGGGGAAGCGGCTGTGTGCTGCTCTTCTAATAGAGGTGGGAATGTTAACC